TCGCATGGTTTAACACATATGGTTACAGACTAACATGGCTGCGATACATGTTGTAATTTCAAGACTTTATTTGATGATTACATATGTCCGTTTACTTACGAGGTTGGGTAGGCAAGGAAGATTATACGCTTGAATTACACATTGAAATCAAAACAATGTATGAGAATCCAAACAAGTTCTACCTCTACAAATGGCATCAGGAGACAAGGAAACGTCTCAGTGATTATGGTGATATGGACCATTGTCACACAGTGGATGAGTCTTTTGGCGCCATAATATATTCTATCATTGGATTCAACCGCAGATTACCTTCTGACCAATCAAAAGAAACAGCACTGCTCATAGCAGACATGATTGTAAATAACCATGTGCAAAGTAACCTAGCAATGGTAATTTAATATTCACGTAAGTTATTGTTAAATACAGGCGACGGTGATGTAACTACCCAAACTGCATATTTAGTTATACTGTCATTGATATACATAAGCAGTTATACATCATAATTGCAGTATACTTATAAGATTCTTGGCAAATCCGAGAAGATAAGCGAATGCTGAAGCCTTAACCCTAAACCCTGAACCTATGGGGAACCCGTCGCCTATATTCAGCTTTGGCACTTGGCTAGATACGGGTGTCGGTGTTCTAGAGTGTGAATAGGATTTTTTCATATATTGTATCTTAGGTTGGGGGCGGGGTGGTGCCGATAGCCTTTACAGGCGAGGGGGTCAATAACTCTAACAGCCTCTGGCTTTGAAACTGGGAAAAGCGTTCCTTGGTAAGAGGTCTGTCATGACGCTTTCGCACACACCTTTTTGGCAACATGACCCCTTCTGTTCGCCCTTCAGGGACTAAAAAAAGCGCTGCTGCTTTAAGACGATGTCTTGGGGCCTCTCTCGTCTCTGGCATCGCAAAACGGGCGGACCGAAACGCACACTCTGTCATCTCAGCAGCAATGAATGCGCTGCCATCTTCTGAAGAAAAATGTCTCCACAACCCACATTGGACATGCATTGCAGATACACCTCTTGGTGGAACGGCAGCCTCAATGAGTGGGAAAACCGTGTCACTTCATACATGTGGAGAAAAAAAGGCCCAATCTCCCAAGCAAAACCAACTGTTGCACCCTCGCCGCCTCGGGATGTAGTAAGCAAGAAACGGCACATTTGGAGCGGCAACCATATAGAAGGAGTAGCCTCAGAAGCGTGCACGCACATAACGTCTGTCGACAGGCACCGGCCAACGTACAGCACACCAGATGTTTCAAGTTTAAAGCTTGGTGGGCCATTGCGGCACCCCAGCAACACAGTTCTGAAAGCCCGTGCCAGACAAGACTTCATGTCGAACATCACGACAACACAACGAAGACAACAGTACAAACCAAAATAGACCCAAATCCAAAAACCTGCGTTGCAGGGTGTGAAGCCACGTTTCAAGATTTTCACCAGCTTCGAGAACTTGAAAATTCTTACACTTACAAATACTGAAACGCATTCAGGACACTTGCACATTGCTACGACGTGCGACGAAAAACAAAGATGCGGAGCGGAACGGCGAATGCTCAACTGCTTGTTGCCCTAGCGATCCATAAAACCGTCGCCACCTTGGAAACTCGAGCAGCGTGGCTGCTGTCGGTTTCACCGGAGCAGTGTTCGACAAATTGAACAACGTCTGTGTCCTTTTCAGACGTAGCTCCAAGTTTATCAACGAATGCCTGGGGCTTTAGGGCTTCAAAACCTCAGGACTGGCTAGCTCAATCAGCAACATCCGAACAAAAACAAACCAACTTCGAGTAGCCCTGTTCCAAAAAAAACGAGCACACAAACTGAAGCTCGCTTTGGGTCGAGCTCTACCGATACAAACTTCAGTAGACCGGGCCCGATTTCATATATTCAGGTTAAGGACGGTGCTTTCATTTCGTGTTTGGGAAAGCGGGTTGATGTGGGAGACCATGACCACCAAACACTGCCAAAGCACACAAAAACAAACTGAGGCAAACCAAAGAAAAACAAAAAGTATTAAAACACAACAGACAGGTTGAAGAGGAGCATGAGAAGTTAGCGATTTTTAAAAGAATGTGTTGAACATGCACAAGGTCCTTGTGTTTGCAGTCCTGCGTTTTTGCATACACGAAGATGAGGATGAGCGAAGCACTCAACCGTCCAAAAACTAACATGCAAAACACGCAAACACACCACACAACACAGCACAACATAACGTGTTGTCACAGTACTGTAGTCGTACTTGGCGGCCTGTTCGGCACAGGCGTTCTTGGATTGAAAACAAGGCACCGAAAGGCACCGTGTCGCTGCCAACATGACGTAGAATCCGGGGCGCAAGCTCCGTGCGAACCAAGTAATTGAACTGCCTTGGTCTGGAGAGCAGTGGAGTGCGTGGTGTGCAGCGAGAAGTTTAGAAAGCGACGCTGCTGGTGCCGCAGGTGGGAAGACCTAACATTGGGCACTCCCGGACCTACGCCGAGCTGCTCAAGATAGCCCTCGTCCTCGGTGGAGCAACTGTACCACTTCCGCAGCATGCGGAGCACCTGGGTTGCTTGACTTCAAGAGGATGGCAACTGCAAAGTTGTTGCCAACCACACGACCTCCGAACGCGACCTCCGAAGAATGGCAACACGGTCAACGAAGACGGCTCTGCTTAAATCTCTCGGTTAGAGCAAACCGATCCAGCCCGAAACCACAAGCCAATTGCCACCATGTTAGCTTTGAGAACCTACCTTCTCCCCATCATCATCAAAAGACTAGAGGTCAGCGGCAAACGATCATGCCAGAAGGGCCACCAAGGCGCCAGCTTCCGATCACATGGAACCCTTCGACCAGTCTCAGGATGAAGGTGGTCTTCGAAGGCACAACCTCGACAAGAAAACACTCCTGCTTGCAATGAGACTGCCGCAAACTACCTGTACGAGCCTACTCGACGAGCCGCAACGAGAAGTCATCAGGCTAGCACTCGGACATGGGCGATGCCTATCACGAATGCCTCTATGGAGCAGCGAAAATGATGCATTAATCAGCAGCGGGCTGGGAACTATCTCAACCTCGGCTTGCCTCACCCTGACGCGGACCCTTACAAAAGCCTCCCCCCAGACCAAAGATGCCTCAAAAGATCTGAATCTACACCGTGAAGCCACAGAATGCGCTTCAGCTCAAGCAGCAGGAGCAGGCGACCTTCCGCACGTCAAAGCTACGGAGCTGAGCCGGCAACTCCTCGACATCCTGGCCACGCCATCCAAAGTGTAGCTAAAAGGCATAAAGGAGCAACAGGGTTCAGGGTGCGCTGCGCCTGCACAGAAAGCTTTCAGATAGAGGAAATACACATGGTGCACTCGCCGACTCACTGAGATAAGCAATGTGGTGTGGCGTGCCAAATTGAGATAGGACCTGGGCAAAGCATTTCTCATGGCTGGGTCTGCTATGACAGGGGGGCCGGACAGGGCTTCCACGTCGGCATGTGTCTGCCATCTATCAGGCTCCTAACCAGCTCGGTCTTAAGGAATAGACCAGCACACCGAGCCTAGAAAGTATGAGCTACAACTGGACTTCTACGACTACATAGTCTGTGGTGGTACTCTTCTAGGAGTTGGTCGGGACTCCACACATGTCAAACAGAAGTGTCACGGCAGCTTCCAACTTCCGGGAGTCCTTCATCATCCCAATTCCAAGCGCATACACTGACGGCATCACCACCGCGCAAATTGCTACGAACCTCGGATGATTCAGAGTGTTGTGCACATGTTGTAAAACTGGGCTGGCTGACCTCCAGCAATAAGTACACTGCAGGCGTGAGACGTTCAGATAAACCGCTAGGCACAATCAGTGGAGCTTCACGATTCAGGGACAAGGCATCTGATCTGCCCGCAGAACACAGTACCACAACATACAGCCACGCAAATGTCACGCAACATGCGTGTACACACCCATATCGGTCGTTCTGCATGGGGTTTGAATGGCTCAATCTTCGAGGTTGATTTCAGCTTGAAGCCCCAAAGGCCCTCAGAATAAAGTGCAATGTTGGGCCGCAGTGTTTGCATGTGATACGCGTGATTTCATGGCCTGCGGCCTGCATTCTGAGAGACACAGGCCCCACGAGGATGGTCTGCTGCAGAATGGAGCGGCCGTCAGCCGCATCATCGACGATGTAGTAGCCTTCGGAAGTTTGAAGCTTAGGATGAAGGGGCGTCGTCGCAAAGACATGCCTAGGCCCCTACAAGAATGGCTGCTGGCCCTCCATGTACCGGGAGGCACCGTACAGTAGTGCTTCCTGCTCCAAAGGACCCGTGAGCGGATGCACCACTTCTAGACAGGAACGTCACAAACATCATTCGTGCCTCCAGCGACGCAGAACTCAAACAGACTTTTCCTGTCTACTGGACTCTCCTCATGAAGAAACGGTATTCTTCTGTGATGGCGACGACGACGACGACGAGGATGAGGATGAGGCCGATGCTGATGCTTATGCTCATGCTGATGCTGGTGGTGATGATGATGTTTATCACTTACTCGTCCTCGTTGGTCGACAGGTATTAACCAGCAGAGTGGCAGTCATGCTCAGGAGAATGAACAATACTAACAGCACGAAGTTGTTACAAGGGTTTCTGCAGGCCATGCTAATGGCGATTACACCTCTGCCAGCCGCAAGGACAACCCCCTATGTCTAGAGACATGAATTTGTCGGCAGTTACAGATCCAAAAGGACTTCAAGCGTTATCTTAAACCGAACTCAGATGCAAACGTATATTGAGCAAGAGAAACATGGACGCTGGATCTTGCTGAGGCACAGTAAGTCAGCAGATGCCAGCTTGCCGAATAAAGGAAGAAGAGGCTGGCAGTCTTCACCTTTGCCGGAAAAGAGCTCAAAGCTGAAGACTATCTCAGTCTAGATTCCCGGTACTATCATGCTTGCAAAAGGAAAACCGCCTCAGCCGGCCAGGGCTGTTTGATGCGCCCATCCAGTCTTCTGGGATCCACTTGATGGGTTAGAGCCAGGACTGGCTGTGCGAGAAGTTTCGCTATCACACACGAGCTGCAATCCAAGTGGCCGGCATAACGAGAATGGACTTTGCCCGGTTGTGATCCTGCGTCGCGATGCTTCAGATCTTGGAGATCCAGCGGCGCGGCAACAACAACCAGAGGTTGACATGCCACCACAGTGCCCACAGCTCAAAGGATTCAAGGCTTGAAGTCAATGACCTCCTTCCATGCAAGCGTTTCGGCTTCAGAAGTCCTTCATGAAAGTGGCAAGCTCGTAAGCGCACCAAAGTCCTCGAGTGAGAAACTGCCAAGCACAACGTGGCCAGGTGTTCGCGTTGGGCTTGGGTCCCAGCTAGGTGGCCCAAAAAATCCCGTAGCGAGTTGCTCATCTCGGTTTTCCTTGGGTTGCCCAAAAGGCCTGACCAAACATTTTCTTCTCCTGCACTGGTGAGAACGCACATCATATCCAATCCATGATGGGGCCAGGCCGAAAAAATGTAAGCCCATGCTGACACAGGGTCTGGTAAAGTATCTCGGTGACCACAGCACCTGAGCTGATAGCAGTTTCCTTTATGGATTAACTTCTGTTCGTTCGTGGCATCCTGGACATCAGGTAAACTATTTGTCTGGATGGCTCGCCTGCCTCTTCTCGTCACTGATCGGACAGAACAACTTCCCAGCTTCAGGGACGAAGTGCAGCTGTATGGGTACCGACAAGCCCTCCCTAGGGCTTGCAAAAGCAGATTCCCTAAGAACGCACAAAGCAAGCTACAGCATGTGCTTACCGGAGAAGGACAACCTGAGGGAAGTGCTTTGAGGGGAGGACCCAGCCAACTAGCAAGTAGTCTCCGTTGCAAACATGGCACGAGCAGCCTGTCCGAGCGATGCAGAAAACCTGCCAACCCGAGGATACCTTTCTCCTTCAACAGCACGGCAAGCAAGCGGCAGGTCCGATCGGTCAAGATGAGTGGCATGGCAGGAGTGCATGCAGCATGATGAATCCACATGATTTGCATGCATCCCAGGGTGCGACAATACTGCTGCTGATTGCCTCATTGCCGCGGTGCGGCTTCGGCTTCTTATGTTGACTTGCCTCTTCTAGCAGACAGCCGGCTTTATTCTGCACATATGCCTGCACGAGAAGACGGCTTGGCAGTACCAATCTACTTAAACTTCCCATCTCATTGAGCGGCTTCCTTCTTGACCGCGTCATGCTGCGCAATGCAGAGCTTGTCCAGGAAGACGATCTGCGCCTCGCGGAAGACCTCCGCCCAAGAGAGAGGCCCAAGAGAAATGCCGGGGAGGAGCGACACGGCTCAGTGCGGCCCAGGCCGGGGGCCCCGGGGCCTTCCGAAGGCGCTGCCAGAAAGCGAGGACCAGGAAGTAGGCCAAGAAACCTCACAGCCAAGCCGCCAGCGTCGCCGCGTCGCGCTTCTCTGAGGCTCTCTGAGGCTCTCTGAGGCTCTCTCTGACGCTCTCTCTGCTTTCGCCAGAGCGCCCAGGCCGGGAGTCCAAAGGTTCATCGGGAGACCGATCAGGACCTGCCACTGTCGCGAACCCACAGCTTACAGCAAGTCTCGTCTAGTGTAGTACCTCGAAAGCGGGCTGGGATTCACAGGTAGCAGTGCAAGGGCCAAGGCTACGCAAGATTTCTGTGAAGAAGTGGCCACCAGCAACGGAAATATCAGTCAGCACATGGCTCTCCTAAATTACGCAGTTGGCGAGGCATGACTCTGCGCAAGCGCACGGACCCAGACCAGCACGCCCTACAAGCGAACCTGAATAGAACCATGGATCGCACACGATCCCACCTCGAGCAGGCCGACACAAGCACTGGTCGCGAAGGAGGCAATCAGTGCAGCGCGGGAGTTGAAGACAATCAGCCTGGCGAGCCCCGGGCCTAGCCAGACCCGTTTAAGATCGAGTGGGACGCCTTGCAAGCATTATGAAGTCGCATATATCTACCGAACCATGAAACCGGTACAAATCGCTGCTCAACTCGGCGAGCCAAAACCCAAAGCAGCCATCTTCGTTACTGGGAAGGCATGGCATTCTGTTTCGCTGGTTGGGCTCAGCACTTGGGCTGACATTCCGATCAACTTCTGTGAACTGCTGTACTCTGCCTCACATGGCCTTACCAGAGCCTCTTGACCAGTGCCATCCCGGGAGCAAACACAAAAGCTTCTGGAAGCGAGAAGTCTCCCAGTCATGACTGAGGAAATAGCCTGAGCTTTCCAGGCTGGGGCTGGGGTCTTTGGGTAGAGGAGAAGTCTCTGACTGCGATTTGCAAAACAAGCCAAGGCGTCATGTCTTTGCATCCGGGTCACCGAAACTCTCGCACGGGACACTCAGCTGATAGCAGATAGCCTGCAATTGCTTTCTCAGAGCTTCAACAACCAGGCACCGCACACTTGTAGAGACTTCCAATGAAGAGCTGTCAGTAATTTTTTGATTCAAGGATCTGGTCAGCAGCTCCGAATAACAGAAATCCTCCGGAGCAGTGCTGCGGAGTGTCTGTGGGGAAGCATTGATGTCTTGCCAGTACTGCAGTACTCATACACCCGCTGCTTTTATCACTAACAGTCACTAGCAACCACGACAAGACTGCACATGTATGCTGTGACTGTCACAACCAGAAAGACCAAGTTTGGCAATGAATCGCCTCCGATCCGAAGCGGCCACTGCTTGCAGACGCCCAATGCTGTGCCCAGCCAGCCAATGCAACCTCCACGGGCAATTTCGATTGTTGGCGGCAGTCCGGCACGCTCTTCGTGGCTTTTATCCTACAGGCTTCTTACTCTGACTCACCCAGTTAGGTGAAAGTTTGGCATGAATGCGGCTCGGACCACCTCCCTTCATTCACCCAAATAACTGCGGTTCACCTGCAGCGGGACGCCTCTCAACAGCTCTGGCTCCAAGTCCTCCTGCAACATTGAAAGACTTGCCGTGTGCTGTGCATGCAAGTTTTCTGCAAATCAAAACACACACAGAGCTACAGCGCAGCGTGCATTGTAATGCTATTGCTGCGGATCCATAACGTTCGAAACCCTTGTGCGAAATTCTGTCTATTGAGCCATGAATTTGCTCGAAGCTGGTTAGTAAACTTAACTAAACTCGACTCTCATGGGCTCTGTGAAGTCCTGCAGCTCGGCATGAGGCGAAGTTGGAGCCAACATAAACCAATATAATCAACTGCAACGACTTCATTGGCTCATTCTGTTTCGCCATCTCTAAGCTGATGTATGCTTCTCGACAACCCCGAGAACCGACCGAAATATAAGCTTTGGAAACAGCCGTCTTTGGAGCATGCTCAAAAACGATACGGAAACCCCACTTCACTTGAACAAAGCTCCCACAGCTCGAACATCAGGTTGCATGAAACCCTCTTGCCAACGATTTCGTAGTTATCGCAGGTACTGCAATGGAAGTTGAAACAGCATGAAAGCCATGCGCAACATTCCAACTGAGGTGCCTGCATAAAAAATCATTTACGTGCACCCAAACACAACAAGGACGTTCTTTTCTTCCAATCTTCACTCTTCTTGCACCCGCACACCCGCTGAAACTTTTTGGCAGTTTACGAGGTTTTTGCGGAATCTCGGAGGGTCTCTGCGCCTGGCAGACAGCACAAATCGAGCACGCGACACTCGTGACTGTGCGCCCAACTTTGCGCAATCCAACGCTCAAGTTGGTTTGCGGCTTGGGCGCTTTTTTTTGGCGTGTGCGGGCCTCGGTGACAGCGGCTGCTGCGCTCGGTCCCAGTAACAATGCAAAGAAGTTCAATAACAACCAAGAAACGCACAATTTATGAATGTTTCAAAAACAAGGTGAGACAGGACAGGCTGACATGCAGACAGCCGGCAGACGTCGTTCAGCCATAAACACTGCAAATATGCAATCAGGGTGGAGAAAAAGAACGCTCCCAAAGACGAGTATGCAACCGAGCCCAGCTTCCCACCAGAGTGGTCTCGCAAGGGCAGAAACCTGAGCCATGGCGGCTGGAACCAGTACTGCCAGTGGAGCCCACAAGCGGCAAGTGCAGACATGTGTTGGGGCTGGGGGAAGATGGCTGTCTCCAATAACGAGTGCATCTCGAGCCCAGCTTCCCATCAGAGTGGATCTCGCAAGGGCGAACACGCAAAGCCATGGTGGCTGGAAGCCATGCCGGACAGTGCATGGGCCTCGAGGGGCGAGTGCAGGCGTGTGTGGTAGGCAGTTGATACAGATCTTCGATGGGAAAGTACAGACGTCCCGCCAGGCCGGATCGCCTCGGAGCCGAAAAACTCCGTGCCCTTGTAAGTAGAAGCACCAACAGCGCAACGTTGCACCTAGTAGAGAGAAACCGCTCCTGAGAATGAGAAAGTTGCCGTTGAAGGGCCACGCTAGCCCGACGCGGATCGGACAGAATTTGGCGCGTGGCCTTCGAAGGTGGAGCCAAAATGTCACAGGCAACGACTGCATAGAGAGGCACTGAACAACCTGAGTCACCCAACGGCTCGCTGGGCAGGATGTGAAAAGCAGAGCTCGCGCAGTGGTCTCTTTTTCTTTTCTTGAGTCAGAGCGACTTGTCGGTACAGCGCTCCTGCGAATGCAGTGGCATCCCCGTCGTCGCAGACCCTTGAGCCAAAGCGGAGTCGCTTCAGGTCTCAAAGGCAGGCTGCGTACAGCACGCTGGACTAATTCCATTCTACAACAATGCTAAACAGTGGAGAACTCTGCAAAAGCTTGCGCTGACAGGTGTGGACCCTTTAAACACTGAGTTAAGCTTCCTTAGCTCCCTTGCGTCACAGAGGTAGTCTCAAACAGCCTCTAAGCACTCTTCCGAGCTCATCACTACTCCCATCCGGAACGAACGGAGTGCGGCAAACACGAAGTGAGTAAACGGCAGCTTCACGCAGTCACAACTGGTCCTACCATGCCAAAACAACGTGCCAAAACATGAAAAACATGCCATGCAGTGAAACATGCAGCAAAACTACCAAGCGTTCACAAAAGACTCAAAAGTCGTTTCAAGTGGTCTTGGTTGTTGCTTCCTTGAACAAAAACACTCGGACAGACAAAGATGAGTCCTCAGGGATCTCATATCTTCTAACCGAGCGGACTGAGTCACGCGCCACAATTGGGCCTTCCGGAGCAGAGCTCAACGGGGAGGTCGGGGTGCAACATGACTAGAAAGAAGGTGCCTGTACAAGTACGCCACCAGGGAGGAGCTCACCCGGGGCGATTCTATGAGACACTAACAACCTCCTGAGGAGTAGCTCACCCAGGGTGCTAGTGCAGGAGCGGCCAGACATGCCTGCAGGGGCGGGGAACTCAGCCAAGCAGCAACATTCCAACAGTTCCTCCCTCAAAGCCCTAATTGCCGAGGTGCCTCTTGGGACTGCGGGCCACCCTTTGGCAACGTGGGCGCCAAATTACCTAAACAAAGCAGAAGGCTCCAAAACTTCGGAGGAAGCCTCACAGCACCCGTCCAGGAGTGCAGAGGCAGAGTTTTCTCGCACTTACTCATCTGCCTCCCAATGCCCATGCCGGCACCAGCGCTGGACACCGTTACCACCACCAGAAAAGGCGTTCACTCTCTTACTTACCTCGCAGGCCCGACCAGCTTTCTCGCTCTTACTGACTCGCCCCACAAGGCCTTGCATGCCCTAACGGCCCTCCAAAAATTTCCAAGAGGAGAAGACTCAACTCAAGGACAAAAGCGTGAGAGCACTATGCGCTGCTAAGGCCGGGGAGGTGTCCAAGCCCAAGGCGAAACGCTCCAGCTGGACCCTTCAACACCAACAGCAGACGTAGTCAACCTCACCGATTCCTTGGACTCAAGCAGCAGTCTCTAAACCCTCTGTGGCTTCTCAGTCTTGGCTTCACCTTTTCTTTTGCCAGGGGTTGTAGTCCCAATTTTTCTCTTTGCTGCCTTCGAGTGATTCAGTTTTCACGGGAGAAGCTCACCGCTTAACTGTGACAGACTGGCGAAGGTAAGGGTGGGAGGTAGCTCACCACCTTCCTTTCTGGCCAGGTGACTTTACAGGCCAAGGCTTTTGCTCTGGTCCCCTCTGCACAGAGACCTCACTGACACGGTGCTCAGGACAAACGACTCCCGATGAGCAGGAACACTGCCACCCGGCACACGTGATGAACAACCTTCAGGCATGCTTTCTCGCGCTTATTCACATCCTTATGCCAGCGAAGGTCCCGTACAGGAGCACAAGTACAAAGCCGATGCCCGGGGTACCGACATGTACCCGATTCTGGGCGCAACAGGACGCGACTATTCGGAAAACTGCGCCTAAACCTCGGTGCCAGGAAGAGAGAGAAGCCTGACACAGAACAAGGAAGGCAAGCAGCGGGCAGGAAGAAGCTACCTGAACCCTTCAAGTCCAAAGGGAGAACCTCCCTAAGACACGCTAGGTCCGAGAAGCTCAGGACCCTACAATTCCTAGAGGGAGAAAACTCACCTCTAAACCACAATCCATTCATCTTCCTCTTCCGTGATGGCTTGTAGGCGGCGGTGTGGGTTGGGCCAAGTGTCATGCATTCGCAGGATCCCTTTGTAGTACAGGAAGCGCCCTATGCCGTCGATCATCCTTCTTGGGTCGCTCGGATCGACATCAAAGGTCAGATCTCTCAAGCGAGCACCAAGGCAACAGCTAAAGCTGCGTAGGCAGAGGCGCGGGCCTTGAGGCGTTGAAGAAGCATGCCAAGTGCCCACCGAACCCCACGCTACGTGACCACCCCTTGTAGTACGCAGGAAGTGAATGTTGTGGCTAGCGGACAGCTCCAGGAAGAGGCCTTCCACTCGACCTTGGTGGTGCCAAGAGAAAACCACACAGTTCGTGAAGGCCATGGCTGTCTTTGCCGTTCAAGCTGTGGTAAGCTTACAGGAGGAGAAGCTCACCCCTGAGTGCACACCTGCAAGCAGCAGGTTAGAAAAGAAACTTAACCCTTGAAGCACGCCCACAGGACTGCCGCGGCTATGGCTCAGGTCTGTCTAAAGCTGGGATTCCAAAGCGCCTGTTCCCCCAAAAGAGACGTTGGAGTTCCAGGACCTCTTAGACAGCTACACTCAACTACCGAGCCAGCCCACCTGTAAACCGGGCCTTGAGCAGTCACAGCTTGAGCCAATCTCTCTCATATCTTCACACACCCGCATGGACGAGACATTTTGAGGTTCACCACGCGGAAGAGACTTCTTTAAGACCCCACGTGCCGCAGACAACAGCACACGACCCATCTCCAGGGGATAAAACCCTGAGTCTTTCACTTCCACCCGACGGTGTTCGTGGTCGTTTGAGCATTTCTGATACTTAATCACGTCTTGAACCAACAGAGGTTGGTTCGAACAAAAGTACCAAGTCTTCAAGACACTGTCAAAACAACAGCGCTCTACTCGGCACCCGCTCCTCGTCAGCTTTAGTTGCCGTGCAGCTCAACGGTAGCTTTCCTCATGCCAAGGATCTGTCCTCTCTGGCCACTCCTGAGTAAGCAAAAGCCTCGGGTTGTCGCTGTGCTTGGCAAACAGCCGAGCGATCCGATTCCATCCCTGTATATATTCTGCAATCTGATTTCTCCACTTGGGTAAAAACGATTCGTTCTTCATATGCAGATGTCGTAGACCACAGCCTGCAGTACACGGAGTGGAGATATGACACCAGAGCTTCGTAGTAGAACCTTCTGCGAGACACTTCAAGAGTTCAAGAAGACATCCTAAACAGTTGTAGCTCAGAAAGTCAACAGACTTAGTAACTCCAAAGTAGGCTACACGATGTCCCTTTTCGCAGGCCCGAGAGATAGCACTTCCAGGCTGACAGTAAAGCTCAAGGACGATAAGATCGACCTTCTTCTGTGCTACCTTCGTGGCAGCCTCAACCCACTCATCAGGCAACTTGAGCGTGCAAGGGTCAAAACAATCAATCTCGTAGATTTCCTCAATTCC